TCACTATAAGATGTTATAAAAAGCTTGAATTCAATTTTGTTAAGATATTCAACTACATCGTGTAATCTCGCGCGTAGGATCGCGGAATTCTATCATCTAAGTGATGAATTTCAGATTTTACGAGTAACTTCAGTTTTCGTAAAGTTAAACCTGAAAGTTATATTGAAATAGAACTGACAATTGGAGATGAAAATTTTTCGTAACCTCAATAGTCCTGCCAACCCCGTCTTCGCGTATTGTGTTACTTAGCGTCGTACTTTCTGCGTCCGTATTGTAGTCAAAATAGACCGAATAAACTGCTCTTGAGAAAACACATGAACAAGTTTTTTTTTCGGGCTCGGAAAACTGACTGTGCTCCCCTTAAGATTTAGTTTTTCGGGGTGAACCGATAATAATTGGGCTTGAAAGGTGAGTAAAGACCAGCTTTTAACGAGGGCATGATTCATTTTTTGCTAGGGAGATTTCAATTGGGCAGCACGTCAACGTCTGTCTCATATGACTGATTATGTACCACCATGTGGAGCCATTGTGTCTCTGATAAATGGCTATGTGACAGATGCAGTGAACTATTATCATGATTATGCTGTACTGGGATCTTAAGTTACAACTCGGCTTTATACAGCAGTTGCAATTCTCTCTAAAAACAATCGTAGCAAAATCTAAATCTTTGGCTGAGGTCAAATGTCCGGTGAAATACGTACTTTCAAATTCACTTCCATAATTAATCAAACTATTTGGAAAATTCCGCCGTGGTGGCCAAAACTTAGTGGATAGTAATGTGGTTTCATTTAGTCAGAGAACCAAGGAGTTCTATAAACTATTCTCTAATTCATATTAAACTTAAAAGTTGGCAAAGTATTGAGAAAACGAACAACCGGCATTGTATGGCAAACATTACCTTGCCGTAGCTATCTTCGAGCAATGAAGCATGCCTAAATTTCTAGCAAATCAACATTTCTGTCGTAAAGGAAATTATGAATGAAAAGTAGCATTTAGGTGATTGAGATCCTATCTTTTAACCTTGATTTAGGTTTGGAGAAATCTTGATAGAATTTTAAAAGGTTGATTTTGCTCCTGTATAACCCTTTTCAGACAATTATACTTTGGGTCCAGTCCGAAGACATCACTTTGTTTATTCACTATGTAGTCCGCCCCTGGAGTACGATCCGCGCACCAAGTTGAAAGACGAGAATCCCCACCTCCTCGCCGCGCCCTGGCCACTCGCGTTGAATCATTCGCTTTTTGGTGCGCGATCCGTGCAGTCGCCCGGCCTGCTTCAGTTCAGAAAACGCGTGCGATTTCTCTTTTCGGTACATAGTGCTCAGTGAGTAGGTAGAAACCATGGAAAAATCAGGAATTTCGGAGGCCAATTCACCCAGCTCCTTGAGAGACATGATTCGGGCCATTTTACAGGAGGAGCTCGAGGCAAGGTCAGGTGGTTATCGTTCTCGCACTAATTCGAGAAGTTTATCCCGAAAGAGTCGACACAGCAGATCCATGTCTCGTACCAATTCACCTCATCATTTTAGACGCTCCCGCTCTCGCATCAGCCGTAGGCGTTCAAGGTCACGTTCTAGGAGTAGTAACAGTCGCAGTCGATCACCGAGCGTGTCGAGGCGACGTAGAGAGAGACGGGAATATTTGCGTCAAGAGAAAAACTCAGGCAGCCCATCTGATAAGGTACAGCGTCAGGTAGACTCGGCTGGCCGTTCTCCGTGCGAGGCGGAAGCTCAGATTCTGACAGGGCCGGACTTGGGAACGGTACCAACTGAGAAAAATGATATGGAGGATGTTTTGATGCTTAGTGAAGGTGAGTGTCTCCCATTATCGGAAGACATATTAAATATCCTGGGTGTAGACCCTAAAAAAGCCAATAGGTCTAACTCCCAACTACACGGTGCCTTAGCTTCTCGATGGTCCCACATTTTGGCCAACGGACTTTCCACCGAGGACACCACCATCATTAGAGAAAAACACATTGTGCCCTCTAACTGTGCCTCTTTACACCCTCCGAAGATAAACCCCGAAGTGAAAGCCATTCTCTCTTCTAATCATTTAACGAGAGATGCCACCCATTCCGGGTACCAATTGAACATTGGTACCGGACTGACCGCCATGGGGAAAGCTTTTAACGTCATTTTGGAAGAAGAAACCCAGATTCCCAAGGATACCAAGGAAAAGATTTTATCGAATTTGACAGATTCTGCGCGAATCTTGGCGGCACTCTTTCACGACATCTCTAAAACTAGAAAGTACCTGATCAGCCCAGTACTCAACAAATCAGTTAAAGAACTGACTGAAAACACCTTACCAGGGGAGTTCTTATTCGGGCCAGATTTAGGTGAGCGGGCGAAAAATTTGAAATCTTTGGAGAAGGCCGGACAGGACCTACGTTTGTCCTCTATCCCCTCACGCAGTAGCTCTCAAGTGACTCGGTCTTTCAGTAATCCTGAAAGAAGAGGGGGGGGAGGCAACTCGTCAAAGAATGTAGGCGCTTTAAACAGGTATCGCCCGTCTTACCGCAAGAGGGAGGTGAGGCAGCACAAGGGCAATTCCTCAAAACAGTTTGCTCCGAACAGACAACAGCAGTCCAGAAAACGTTGAAGGTAAAACAAGTTCTATTTGCTGGTCGGCTACAATTTTACCTCAACTCTTGGTCAAAACTAACTTCAAATCCGATAGTCTTATCCTGGATTCAAGGTTACCGGATTCCCTTTAAATGCACACCTCCATTACGTCAACCTTTGGGCACAAATAATTTTTCTTCGACAGAAACATCGCTAGTTCGAGTAGCTATACGCGACTTGCAGAAGTCCGGGGCCATAATCAAATCTGAGTCAAGGCCCGATCAATTTATCTCTCCATATTTTCTTGCAGATAAATCCAACGGGGGAAAAAGATTTATATTAAACCTGAAACAGTTAAATGAATATGTGGAATGCCCGCATTTCAAAATGGAGGACCTTCGTACGGCTATAAAATTGACTCATAAAAACGTGTACATGTGCACAATCGACTTGAGAGATGCGTATTTTTTAGTACCTGTCCACAGCGACCATCAACAATTTCTAAAATTCTACTTTGATGGCCAATTGTATCAATTCACTTGCCTACCGTTTGGGTTATGTACAGCTCCGTTATGTTTCACAAAGCTTATGAAGCCAGTCGTCTCTTTTCTCCGCAATTTAGGCATCTCTACAGTCAATTATTTAGACGATTTTCTAATCTTTGGAGTTTCCTATGAATCCTGCCTTAATAATGTTAGCACAACCATTCGGTTTTTAAGCTCATTGGGTCTTATCATCAATAACAGCAAAAGCATTCTGGTACCCACTACTCGTATAAGATTCCTCGGCTTTCTGATAGATAGTGTTAATTTAACAATTGAACTTCCTGCCGAAAAGAAAAATCACATCCTCAGGTTAGCCTCATATTATTTGAACCAATCGAGATGTAGAATTCGCGACTGGGCAAGGTTCATTGGCACCTTGGTGTCGGCTTGTCCTGGTGTGAAATACGGGTTCCTTTATTGCAAATCTCTAGAAAGGGAAAAATTCTTAGCTTTAGAGAAAAACAATGGAAATTATAACGCAAGTATGGCTATTCCTGAAAACATAAAGAGCGATATTTCATGGTGGAAAGATCACATTTCAACAGCTTTCAATGACATAAGGTATGATTCCTTTCATATCACCATCGTTACCGACGCATCGCTAACAGGATGGGGGGCTTGCTCTGGCCAGGATAGAACCCACGGTTTCTGGTCCGACCCCCAAAAACTATTGCATATAAATAATTTGGAATTATGGGCTATATTTTACGGCATCCAGTGTTATGCAAAACTTTTAAAAAATTGCAATATTCTAATTCGATGCGACAATACAACAGCCGTTTCTTACATTAACAGAATGGGGAGTGTTCGGTTTCCAGAGCTATGTTCTCTGGCTAAACAAATTTGGCAATGGTGTGAGGAAAGAAATCTCTGGCTTCTTGCATCATACATCCCATCTAAAGATAACGCTATAGCAGACGATGAGTCCAGGAGCTTGAATTTTGAAACGGAATGGTCATTATCTCAAACTGCCTTCGACCATTTAACCGACATCTTCGGAAAACCAGAGATCGATCTTTTTGCCTCTCATACCAATGCGAAATGCGAGGTATACGCTTCCTGGCATAGAGATCCAGGATCTACATATATCGATGCGTTTACAATTCGCTGGAACAGTTTTTATTTTTATGCATTCCCCCCTTTTACCTTAATTCTCCGAGTTTTACAAAAAATAATTCAGGATAAGGCTGTCGGAATTTTGGTGGTTCCTTGGTGGCCTTCACAACCTTGGTACCCACTTTTCCGTCAGTTATTGATCGACCAAGAAATTCATTTTCCCCCTTCACCTGATTTACTATCTTGTGCGGTTTCCAGGTCACATCCGCTGTCGAAAACCCTTACCCTGGTAGCAGCGAAGTTATCAGGCAAGCGTTTTTGAGTAGAGAGGTGCCGGAATCTGCCATTTCTACAATCATCGCCTCAGTCTCCAGATCCACATTGCAGCAATATAACAGCTCCTACAAATTGTGGTGGGAATTTTGCTTTAGTAATGACATTTCGATCTTTAAACCCACAATCAAAGACGTGGTGTCATTCTTGCAAGAGTTGACAAAGAAGAAAAACCTCACGTCTGGCACTTTTAATTCTCATACATCTGCTCTTTCACTAATTTGCTCAACTGATTTAGCATCCAATCCTATAATTAGACGCTTCAAAAAAGGCATTCATCGTTTACGGCCATCTCGGCCAAAATATTCGGCCACCTGGGATCCTATACCTCTCCTAAGTTATCTAGAAAAGTTACCATCTCCACTTAGCCTCCAAAGTCTGTCACAAAAATTGACAACGTTATTAGCTCTAATAACAGGAGAAAGACTCCAGACAATTTCTCTTATTCGTCTTTCACATACCTCCCATGGTCCCAGCGAAACTACCATTAATATTTCAGACCCAATTAAAACCAGTCGAATTGGGAAACCTCAACCAACCTTGCATATACCGGTTTTTCAACAAAACCCTTTCCTGTGCGTAGCCACCATCCTGAAGGAATATATTGACAGAACAGCTAGCTTGAGAGAACCCGACAACGATTTTCTATTCGTGACATATAAAAAACCACATACCAGGGCGTCCAAAGACACTTTAAGCAGATGGGTAAAACAGACTCTTGCATCGGCGGGTGTCAACACAACACTTTTTACGCCTCATTCAGTCAGGCATGCGGCTACCTCAACGGCGTTAAGAAAAGGCGTTTCCGTAGATAGTATATGTAAAACAGTTGGTTGGACGCAACATTCCACATTTGCAAAGTTTTATAATCGTCCTTTACAAACCAACAATGAGTTTGCAAATGCCATTTTGGACATAAATGCCTGATTAGTTAGAACAGTTTAAGAGTTTGTGACGTACTTTAGGTACTCTAGTTGTTTTTTGAAAAAATATTACTATTAGGGTAAATGTTAAAAATTGACCCCTTGTTTTTTGCTTTTGGTTATGAGAATGCAGAATATATGTTTTTGCCTTTTTGTGTTTGTATACTTGTATTTTTTATATCATCAACTCGCTCGCAACTCTATCTCATCTTTAAACATCTACATAGTGAATAAACAAAGTGATGTCTTCGGACTGGACCCAAAGTATAATTGATCGATCAAACGAACTTACCTGAAGTGAAGTTCGATCGTAATTATACGAGGGTCCAGTCCGAAGACATCACCCCCACCCTATATGCAACCCTCCCAAGTTGCGAGCAAGTACCATTTCTTTAAACAAATGATTCAACGCGAGTGGCCAGGGCGCGGCGAGGAGGTGGGGATTCTCGTCTTTCAACTTGGTGCGCGGATCGTACTCCAGGGGCGGACTACATAGTGAATAAACAAAGTGATGTCTTCGGACTGGACCCTCGTATAATTACGATCGAACTTCACTTCAGGTAAGTTCGTTTGATCGATCAATTATTGGGTAATCGTTTCGGATCTAACTTCGTCGACGAGATACAACCAATTTATTTAAGGTTACCATAACTCATTAGTAAATGCACGCTGCTTGCTAAACTTTCTACACAATATCGGCTTTTTCTCAATGTTCAATTTCAGCGAAGATGTACTCGTACAATGACGTTCCTCGTCCGACGTAATATTTAAAGTTATTGATTATGGTAAAATTGACTTCCTACTTTTGGTTTTAGGAAAATATACAGCAAACCTTCGCTAATTGATTTAACAATGAGCGCGTTCAACCACCGTAAACTGGACCAGGGATACGGCAGCGCTTTTATGCTGAATATCTGTAGCCTTGTCAGATATAATAACTTGTTGACTGAATCGTGCAACCTATATACCAGGAAAACCAACAAAATGAGCAAAAAACGACACCAAAACTTGATGCCTGACTGAGGGCGCAGTGGTCGAAGCGAATACCACCTACAGCGCATACGCAGGGTATCTGAGGTTATAGTTCAAGATCCGGCCGCTTGAATTTGCAGGTATCTGTATTCTTTTTATAAAACTCATTTTTTATATTTGATAAATCATAGTAGTACAGATTACAGCAGGGGCGCCTGGAAAACGCAACCTTGCTGTAATCTATTCTATTATATATCATTCATAAAAATCAGGTATTTATCTAAAAAAACAGATATCTGCAAATTCAGGCGGCCGGATCTTAGACTATTAGAAAAGTGTTCCGGCGAACAGAATTTCCCAGAACAAGCACCAAAACCCCCCAAATCGCATGTAATTAATGGAAACGGGTAGGTTTCGTTCAAAAAGCACACTTTAATAGAGGCATTCTGCTGTTCAGCATAAAAGCGCCACACCGCTGGACCGCTGTACGTTGGCTAGAAGCGCTCAATATCTTGAAGGAAAATTAAATGTACCGATATTCATATTATTTAAATAACATTGGCTGTTTATATATACGAGCCCCTTCCCACTTCAGTTGGCCCACTTCAAGATTTGTACCAAAATATGCCTTTATGAACTAAACATGACGAAACTATTTACTTCTAAAACAATTTATTTTCTCAAAAACATTTTAGATACACTCTAGTCGTAAAAAATACATATTTGAAATCACTTAGGCCTATAACTAATAGAACATCTGAACAAATAAACAATGTGCGAATAAATGCGCGAAGTTAACAAAGCAACAATTGAAAGATTACCTTTGGGTAACATCACCTTAATTTTTTATTACGTCTAAAATTGTTTGGGGCATAGTGTTAACCAAGTTTTGGCAAAGATTTGGTGTAAAACAATCCCATATTTCTTGAAGCTTTTGCCTCAGTTCGGTGATTGTACGATCAGGATGTTGCCATAGAACCTTGTTCATTTCGTGCCACAAAGTTTCAATAGGTGACAGATCTGGACTGCTAGAAACCCATTTCAAAAGTGGTACATTATTTTCTTCCATCTATTTTATAGCCTTTTTTTGAGGTATGACACGCTGCACCATCTTGCTGAAACACAAAATCTTGGCCGGATGTCAAACATTCTCCCATCACTAGTAACAGCGATTCTTATAAAATTGCCAAATATTTGTTTGTACCCACATTTCCATCAATAAAATGAAGTTTTAATACTCCTTTTGATGACATACTGCCCCAGACCATAATGGATACTGGAAATTTCTCTTTCTCTTCAGACAGTCAACATGGACTGCTTCATTTTTTTGCGAATAACTCTACAGCGACCGTCACCAACACAAACTTCGAATCGGGCCTCATCACTCCATTGTATTGCACACCATTGTTGAGGTGTCCATTGTCTATGTTCTTTAGCCCATCTAAGCCGATTTTTCGTTTGCAGTGGAGTTAATAGTGGCTTTTCTTTGGCCTATAAACCAGTTGTTGTTTATAAGAAAACTTACCTTGCAAGTGCTAAATCCCAGTTTGTGGGCCTCTCTGTGAGTTTGTGGACCTCGAAATTCTCCTTCCAACAGCGTCACTCCACAGAGCACTTAATTGTAAATAATTGGCACGCCTGTTTTTCACTTTTATTCTTCTTAATGCTCTTAGGTCGGCATTTGTGATATTACTTTTTTTCACATATCGTGGCTTAATATTAACTGAACCAGTTACGTTATATCTTCTAACAATATTTCTCACACTGTACCGCGATAAGTCTAACAAAGTTGCAATTTCTGAGTTTGATTTTCCAGAATTAAAAAATTTAATTATCAGTAACCGAATTTTCTCACTAATAATCTTTCCTCTACCCATTTTGAAAACCTTAACTACCCAAAACTATTGTAAACGTATTCTGACAGCTGTGATTAATAAAAACAATTGTCATGGCTTTTATTTTTCACAGCCCCCTATGCGTTATAGACTTATTTGGCATTGAAATGAAAATAGGTTGATATGCTGTAATTGCAACATGTGCTATTTTTATGCTGCAAATTTGATTAGGAAGTGATAAAGTTGGTGTTTTCTACTATATATTATCAAAATATTGTGTTTAAAACTATAACACCCTGCTACATTTCTATTATTTGTGTTTGATAAGAAAAAATATTTTAATAGTTGTGCCAACTGAAGTGGGAAGGAGCACTTAGATATGAAAAAATATACTGCAGGTGATACATTGAGATCATAATGTTATTCTCTGGAAGAAATATTTCTAAAAGATTTTAGGAACTGAAGAATGTAAGGAATGAAAGCGTATGCTGTTAAAAAACAAATTACTTGGCGGTAAAGTCAAGTGTCCTTCGTGTGTCTTTTTTTTCCTCTCCATCTTCGTTTCCTCAGGTTACACACGTATCCGGATGTATGGACATGTGTATCTACTTTTGTAGTTGCATATGTGCATTCATTTTGGGCCTGATGAAGCCAACCAGCAGAAATACGTATCGCTCGGGTTACCTATCCTATTTTCTGCTCGAATCCACTTTTTGTGGATTTTGCCCATTATTTTCCTATTTTTGTTATATATATATGCACTCAAACTATGCAGATTATGGCAATGCTGGTTGGAGCGCCACTCTCTTAGTTTGCTTTTAAATTTTCATCACTTTTTTGCATTATTCAATCAAATTTAGTTCAAAAAACCAAGCCATCCAAAGTTTATTAACAAAATGGTGAATAGTTTCGGCCATCAAGTAAAAACCTTCTCATATCTATGACGGTATGTGATGACAACTGTCACAGCATACTGTGAAATGCAAATGTTAAATCGATCGAACGTGGCTCGAGGAAGCATTATTGTTTGTTTAAAATCCAAGGAACATCTATAAATGTGGCCGTCAATTTGCACAAATGCTCGAACACCCTGTATGTAGGTTATGCTTTATAATTCCGCAGACAACGCCTTGAAAATGGCTGGTATATACCTGCATCAACAAATCTCGGCTTCGTTGGTGCGACAACTGCAAAAACACATGTATTAAAACGTCAGCGAGGAATGACTAGCATGCTGAAAATGGAGTTCCAAAACCAGGCAAAAAACCATCTCTCGGTTCGCAACTCCCTCGGAGTTGCACAATTAACAAAAAATTTCATCTCGCAGATTGCGCACGCTGGTAACAGTATGGAGCCCTTTTTGCTCCGTCGATATGAAATCTCGGCCAGAAGTTTTATGTAAAAACAAAGGCCTCCTCCCGGTTTAATGAATGGTTTGAGGGAGGATGACATACACACTGCGTGCCTGAGTCAGGAGCGTAGACAAGTAACATAGGAGAGTGTAAAAAAATAAACAAATACAGCAATTGGGCAGCTGAATCAGCAGTCTTGGGTCAGTAAGCTTTCATCTCCCGCGTCAACTACAAGCAACAATTCAACTAACAAGCAACAATTTCAAAAAATGTTTAAATCGAAACAATTTTTTCAATGTTACTGATTTTACATGACATATTGTTGTGGAGCGGAATAAACTGAGCGCGTTCAACCAACGTAAAGCACCGCTTTTAAGCTGAACAGCATACTAGCCGTGGTATAGATTTATCTTTTCGCAAATCAACAGACTATCAAATGTGACAGCAAAGCTATGCTATGGCTACAGCCAATCACCATAAAGGTATTGCACTGCTAGAATGCTTAACGTTATCTCAACACTCTCCATGTCACTTGCTTCCCTCGGTCTCTTTGCCAATCTACTGAAAATACCGATTCATTTTCTTCAGGATACTTTTCCATATAATAAAAACAATTATGAAATCGCACTTAATCAAGACGAATCAGATTAACGTGTCTGATGTTATAGACTTAAAAATATGCGAATAATTCAAGCTGTTGGAAATACCAATAATAAGGGTACATAAATGCGGACTTGATATTCATTATTTTCAGTGTTTTGGGCGCGGTAGAGAATCCCTGCCCGCAGTTCTACCAGAACCTTTCGCCTTTCCATCTTTCTAGCTACTTGACATAATGTAAGCAAAGCACATGCCGTCAAAGCGCCCAAATGAAAGACGTTAGTATTTATTATTTCATCATAGGTGGAAGTTTCGATAACCAAAATGTTGGCGAAATCTGGTTAGTAGCGATAAATAGTTTAAATTTTGTGTCACAAAAAAACTGATAGAAATATATGAGTATATATTTAACTAAAGAGATTAAAACGCACACGATCTATTTTATCCACCACTGAGCACCGTTCACTGGCTTTTTTCTGCATAATCAAATTGCAAAGTTTAAATTAAGAATGCTGATTTTCATAGAACTTTTAGTTATCTGATGAGTTCACTGAAACTTTTGCAAGAGTGGTTCAGAATTGACTGAAATAAGTTGAAAATGATCCGTTTGATTTGCGTCTCTGTGACTATAACCAACCGTATACATCTTTTATTCATGCTTCCCAGCAATCATCAGTAGGTCTAGTCATTGAGGACATACAACAGAAAGCAAACAGGCAGGAATTGGTCTTGGCGCTTGTCAATGTTGCCACCTTTTTGGGCACAACATTCCGTGTTTTTCAAAAGTTCATGCACCATCGTATTCGGCCTGTGTTTAGTTTATGCAATTTTCACATAAGTCCAAGCTGGTAGCAGGATGAGTATTTAGTACTCTGATTCATGAGACGCCTTTGTGGTTGGCGACACTTGTCCGGTTTATTGATGCTGTGAGGTGAATATGCTGGGAAAGTGAGTACCTAGTTTTCTGATACCGATGGTAGGTGTCGGTAGTACCATGCCTTCGCTCGTATATAGCGGTGTCACTTCTTCGCAATTGACTTTATTTTATATAGGTCCTTGGCTCATAGTACCTTACTTTTCATTTGAGCCAGTTTCTCGCATAACACCCCGTCTATACCGTAATGCGCCGGTACGTATGGCGACCTGTACCCCAAAAAATCAATTCAACATTTTAATTCGGAATCGCCAGTGACCCCTGTCCTGCCACCCCCGCAATTTATACAGGCAACATCTGCACATAACGTATTATCAGCTCGCTTTATTGAAGAATATTTTATATACCAGAGACAGCATGTGCTGGGGCTCGTAAATAATGTCTGAAATTTTTCTGTTAACTGCCCTTCGCGCCCGTTTTACGGCCCCGATAACAGCTTTCCAAATGAATTATTTGTTCAACTATTTGGTATTTTAAAATGTGACGTCATCACTATTTCCAATGTGTCTTTACGACTTAATATGTTAATTAATTAGTTATCTTAACTCTATATCATGAAATACGCGGAAGCAACCCATGCTCCCATAAAAAGAGAAAGCGCCCAAATATACTCTGACATTAGAAGTGTTACACCCAGAAATAAATAATTTCTTCAACTTGTTTTTTAGCCACATAATATCATTTGAAGCATGATATGGGAACAATGTCAACGTTTTGTCTTTGTTTTTATTTACCTTTGTTAAAATGTTATCTCTTAGGCCCGTATCGTCAGTCGTCCCTACAATTGTAGGGCGCCTTTATGGCCTCCTTGATTGTCATAGTTTTCTACTTCTCCGTGACAGCGCTCTATTTTGAGGTTATGTCACAAACATCTATTTGCATCAAATTGTGCATAGTTTTTAAGTTATATCATGTTTTATGAGCCTGAAATTTCCTACAATTTAAAAAATATCTTCACAATAGGAGAGCGCTGACGCTGACACGGGACGGGTGCAATCTAGAATATTTTGAAGGAGAGAAAGCAGTATGGCAATCAAGGAGGCCATAAACGCGCCCTACAATTGTAGGGACGACTGACGATACGAGCCTTAGTTTTTGTAAATAAATCATTATCTGAGAGCCGAGTACTACAGATATTGTTAGTTATTGCCCTTTCATTTAATAGTGTTAAGCATAACAAAATGCCTCGAGTTCAAAGACGTTCAAATCATCACCATGTTAGCGACTCTGACAGGGGTGGAATATTGCCTTTCGAGATGTTGGAAATTGGCCGCCGTATTAATTGTACTCCAATGAGAGTAATGCGCGTATGTCGTGTGTGAATAAAAGAAGATAGAGGAACACGAAGAAGGCCAACTGGTCCACCGAGGCATACCACAGAGCGTCAAGCTAGGCGCTTCAGACAGCTAGACCGTTTTACTACTACGCGTCAGATCGCTGACCAATGGTTTGGAGAAGAAGGCAGACCTGTTACTATGCGTATACTATATCACCGCATTCGAACCTATGAACTTTTTTCATACCGTCCACGGTTAGTGCTTCCTCTGACTGCGGACCACTGTCGTCAACGTTTGAACCCGAACAGAGAACAGCAAGATTGGGAGGCAGAATGGCACAATGTCATCTTCAGCGACGAATCGCGATTCTGTCTAGGTACGCACGATGGTCGTAGAAGGGTAAGACTCCGCCGTGGGGTACGGCATGATATTAGATTTGCTGTTGAGAGTCATGTTCACAGGACTGTTGGACTAATGGCTTTGGGGGCTATTCTCTATGGTAACCGATCACCCCATCTCTTTGTTTAAAGCAATATGACTGCTGCGCGTCATGTTGATGATGTCCTACAAACCACTTTACTGGTAACTAAAGAGCCGACCACTCGTCGTTTTTCAGCAAGACAACGCACGTCCCCATATTGCTCGACGTACTACTGACTTTCCTCAAGAAGCAGGCGTTAATGTTTTGCCGTGGCCACCCCGTTCACCGGATTTATATCTCATCAAACATGTGTGGGAAATGATCGGGAGGAGACTATCCACTTTGCACCATCCACCACAGCGAATCCGCGAAGTTCGGGTTGGTTTGAATAAGGTGCCACAACCAGACGTCGATTTTGTCGATGCCTAGACGTATGTAAGAGTGAATTCAGCTGCGGGGTCGCCCAACAGATTATTAATTTTTTTGTTCATGCTTGTCAACAAAATTTCGTGAGAATGTTATCGTTCCATTCTTGATGTAAGTCATTGCCAAAAAACCAAGTTGAAGAAATTATTTTTTCTGGAGTTTTTCTAGGTGATTTGAAAATCGAACTCTACATGAAAAGAGGCTAGTTAATCTCAAAAAATACGTTGATTACTTCAAAATGACTGTCCGCTGCTTCAATGGCTTTTTTACTAGGAACATGGAATCAAATTAAAGACAAAAATTACTAAATCTGATTAAAACGGTGCTGCTCAAGCAATTCGAAACGTGATTGAGTGATTTTTGCCATTGTTGGAGCTCTTCTGCAGGTAGGTACATTGTCCTGATGGAACGTGTTTTTTTTTCAGTAAATCTGATATTTTCTCAGAATTTCTACTGCCAGCATGATGAGAATGTTGCATTATTATTCTGCTGCTGTGGTTTTGCCATTCTACAGGTAACTTACTATAGTTCTAGTCACCCTTCTTGGCGGTTACATCATCAACGCCGTATGAAACAGTTAAGGCCCTATTTCACCGGGACACCATGGCGGCGCAACCGGTCGTCGCTACCAACAAAACATATAGAGCTCTATGGAGAGTATCTCACCTGGTGTCCGCTTGGTTGCACAACCAGTTTGGCGGAGCGACCAACACTACGTGTGCTCGAAAGATTACTGGCAGCTCCGCCAAGCTGGTCGCACCACCACTATTTCGTATTGGGCTCTATGGTGTTTCACTCACTCGGCCGCCAGTCGTGCTGCTAACGACGCGATAATTCTGAATATGTCAACTCATTTGCTTTTTAGTTTGCAAACGTGCATGATGGATAATTTCGATACTGAAATATTTATTATTGATATTCAAAATAGACCATCAATTTGGGATAGTTCCTCAGCAGATTACTCTAATAGAGATTTGAAGAAGAAATGTTGGGAAGAAATTGTAGATTTATATGGAGGAGAGGGGCAAACAGTTGAACAAAAAAAAGACTTAGATAAGTAAGGAATATTATATTTTTTATATTTTTATTAATTAATACAATTATTTTGACATGAAAGTGGGTTTTCATTTACAAAATAATTCATGAAGTTATCTCGAGTTGTGGTAACAGCACGTCCTCCTCTAGTAAAATTTCGCTGTTATAGTTTCAAAACCGGTTACTGTCAGAGCATCATCATATGAATACCCATCTCTAGCACGCACAAAATTATGCAAGACACAACATGTTCTCACAATTGATTTTGCTAATTCGGTGTGGACATTCAATGGTCTGTGGAAAATTCTCCATTTGTTGGTTAAAATTCCAAAAGTGCACTCGATGTAACGGCGCGCTCTCGACAGTCTGTAGTTGAAAATTTTTTTGTCGACGCTGAGGTTGTTTCCTCCAAATGGGCGCATGACATTTGTGCTCAACCCGAATGCTTCGTCGCCTACAAATACGTAAGGAAAAAGCGTTGTGCTATTTTCCGAAATTTGAAGGGGCTCTGGAAAATTTAAAGTATTGCTCATGAGCTTCTTATAAAAGTCAGTTTCTTGGAATATTGCTGAATCACTACTTTTCCCATAGGCACCTACGTCTATGTACATAAAATTATAATAATTAGCGTCACATACAGCAAGCAGCACTATTGAAAAAAAGTATTTATAGTTATAATATAATGAACCAGAATCAGCAGGTTGAATCAGTCCAATGTGCTTCCCATCGATACTAGCCAGGCAGTGTGGAAAGTTCGCATGCTTTTCGAAACCATCTGCTGTTTTGATCCAGTCACTTGCAGAGGCTGGAAGTGATAAACATGTTTGCAACTTATCCCAAATCACGACACACACTTCTCTAATTATTGTGCTTAAAGTTGTTTGTCCTAGACGATAATTGTAATGCAATTCCCTCATTGTACATCCACTAGCGAAGTACCTGTAATTCAGAGAAATATATGTTTTATATAATATATAAATATATGTTTTTTTATTAATAAATAATTGATTGGTACTAAAATAAATCCCAAGAAAAAACACACCATAAGTTAAATTCAGAGAAATACTAACTACTAATCATTTCTTTTCAGGTTTGGTGTTGCAAAAAAGGTGGAAAAGTATAAGATCATGCTATGCTCGGGAAGTCAAAAGACAAAAAAATTTAAAGTCTGGTTCTGGAGCCACTAACCGCAAAAGCGAATACATATACTTTAAGCAGTTGCAGTTTCTACAAAAAGTAGTAGCTATCAGAGAAAAAGAAGATGACGAAGAAGAAAATTCGGAGAGCACTGAAGTACGTGAGCGTCCTAAAGAAAAAGCTACCATCAAACGTAAACGGCAATTGGCTGAAGATGATGATCGCTTTGTACGAGCTCTAAATAATTCTATTGAGCAGAGGCAACGTGATACATCAGAGCAGATACTACGTGAAACAGCAGAGACCGATGAAGATCGATTATTTCTGCTGTCATTGTTAAGCACACTAAAAAATCTGCCTGTTCGAGTTAAAATGGCTACCAAGATAAAGATGCTAACTTTGTTGAACGATGCGTCAGATTATTCTGGTTACAGGACGTTTGATTATGCTGATTGTTCATTTCGGCATACTTCACAAGCTAATTCAGGTGGTAGACTGGTTAGTCAAGGCAACTATCATCCTGGTTCTTCGACGCAACCGCGCACCACGAATTATCCGACTGAAACTATTACAAATAGTCCTGGATATAATTCTATGAATACAATAATGTATACAAGTTCTCCAAGCGATACACCTGATTCACTGGACTCGGAACCATATATGGAACTGTTTAACACTCAAAATTGTAGTAACTAACTCCAAAAAAATGTTCGTGAATTGTTTGTTCAGTTACATTCTTTAATAAAACTTACCTACTAAAAAAGTTCATTATTTGTTTTAACTTACCTTAATGTTACAAATAACTTTTCTTCGCGACTGACAGACTTTCTTAATATTGTATCTTGTTTCAATAAATCATATCTGCACAGAGTCAATAACTCGTCAAAGGACCTCATGGACATTCTGACATAGTTAAAAAACTTATCTGGATATCTTCTCAGATCTTCGTATATGTTGATAAATTGTCCTTTCTTAGGACGATCGGCTAAGTAAGGATGAATCCACCACTGTTTTCTTTTTCTTTTTAACTTTCTTTTCCTTCGTATATACAGCAACAGTGCTAACTCTTCGACGTTCATTTTGATACTGTGGCCGTAGTCGGTGTCTCGGGTTTGGTAGCTTCAAGACACCATGGTTGTGCGACTGGTTGCGCCGCCATGGTGTCCCGGTGAAATAGGGCCCTTAGAGTATCCATACCATAGGCGGACCACTGCGCAGACTAATCTTCAGCGCATCTGCTACTGTCTCCAGTACGCATGACGTGGGTAACAGGGGACCGCTGTTTTCATTCTCTTCCTGGAAATACTCTAATAAATTTAGCACGAGCTGTCGGCCTTCTCCATTGATCGTATTTCCGGGCATCGTGCAATTTTATATTGAAGATGGAAAGTTGTCACTCTGACCAATATGATTGAAGGGCACTCATAACGAAGTTTTCGAGGCGGAGACACACAACTAAAAAAGTATGTCTTTGAGCTTACCGAATATACGTTCACACACAGGGGTAGGTTGCATGTGTATGCATGAGGTTGATGGAGATATATAAAGGGATACTGGTAGTCTTACTTTGACCCGCCAAGAACGGTGACTACAACTATAACAATATTCCTTATGCATCCCAAAACATGGCGTTATCGGTTCATAAGGGATTATGTGCTCTCTGAGAAAAAAGTTAGTTACCAACATGTGTAACAGTATTAAACAAATCAATTCAGTCCAAAAAGTCCATACAATTAGTAAGTACATAGACATGCTTGATCCGCCCTACCGGCACCCATATTACGTAATTTAAAAAGTGGCATTACATCGATTTATTATATCTTTATGTAGATTTTTTATGACATAATGTAGAGTATCCTACAAAACGTCACCCTTGAAGTCGCTGACATTCGCTTCATTCTAGGCGAGCGGTCCTTTTCAGGTTATAGAAGGGCCGATGATTAGCTGACAGTCCGTTAGGCAGATGGAAATGAGTGACATGGTTTTTCTAGATATGAATGTCGTATAACATCCAAGAAACATAGCTCATTTTCGAAAATTTTGCAATACTTCCTCACTAGTGGCGTTGGAAATGAAAATGGCTGCCATAACCTTTTCACAACATTTCGACAACGTTGCCTGCTTCGAAGCAGAACTACCTGTTTCAGTCCACTCATCAATAATTCTAAATTAAGGTATAAAGTCAGATTTGTCCTCGCAAATTGATTCATATGCTGGAAAAGTCTTACTTAAATTCGATTTTGATCTAAAGTTTGCCATCTAGGCACTCGCCTTGCCAATAGCTTTCTATTCATTTGTCTAAATATGAAACATAAACTCGCTTGAGATGTTCACAGCCTCAGCAACTTCAAATCTATCTTACTATTTAAAACTGTATTCTAATTAGAATTAACAATATCTTCGTTGGTAGCAGTCTTCGGACGAGCACTGTGAGCCTCGTCATGGGTGTCTGAGCAACCACGTTCAAATTGAGTAATTCGATTAAAATACTGTTGATCAGGAAGGAGTATTACTTCCCGATATATTTGCCATATCAGTTCATAAATTATATCACCAGGGACGGATCTAGGAAATATGTTTTCGATGTTTTTAATCTCAGATATTTTGGGGTGTGAATCTCCCGAACCCCCACCCCTGATTCCGCTCCTGTCTATCACCGTGCAATCCTCCTTTATACAAATATTATCTAATAAAATGACCTATTTTCTAAAACAGCACGAAATATTTTTACTTCAAATCACTGTAGAACTAATTTTCATATCACCTTGAAGCTGTACATGTATTCATGGGAAGTGTCTAGAAGTCCAGCATAGTAATATGCTTTTAAAACCCCCTTCTGTAAGCGTGTTAACAAAAATAATGCACGTTAACGCCCGCGAAAACTATTCATAAAGTACCCTTTTCTGTCCAGTCATAGATAAAAGAATTATAGCTGGCATCGTCTAAACCTATCAGCTACAATATACGTAATTTGGCCAATATCCAGTATCGAGTGAGTGTCCATTATGACGAAGACCATCAAGCCATTTAAGCTGTAGTAGCTGTAGAATCGATTAAGGTCTATTAGCGGGATTTTTGGCAGTGATAACTAAAATTTCAAATTGATCGGATCTATGAAATCCTTGCATTCAAATATTTTAGAACATGTTTAATCCAAACTTTCAACAAATATGTTATTTTCGCATTTTTATCCAAAATTCTCCCATTTTCGAATAGGTATGGCATTGGTCGCAAGCTTTCTACTTTAAAAACAAAATTAGTAAAAGTCTCATTATAATTGTGTACTGACTTGTTTTAACTTTTGTTTCTATATTCGGTTTGTGTCTTAGTGTATTTTATTACAGCTTTCAAATTGAAAGAGTTGCAACCATACTAAGGTTTGTGTCTTAGTGTATTTTATTACAGATTTCAAATTAAAAGAGTTGCAACCATACGCTTATTCAAAAAATACTAAGTTAAATATTCGAAAATGGTGAGTTTTGGAAAAAAATTACAAAATTGCGAACTTTTAAAGAATAACCGAGTACTAAAATTAATGGAAAAATGTTAATAAGTTTTCAAAGTTGTTCTGAATTATTTGAATGCAGTGCTTTTAGGGTCGAAAAACCCGCTTATAGGCCCTATCCCTTCAAGGTTGAAATTTTCGTTCCAAATCCGTCATTTTGAATTTGAAAATTTTGAATATACCCAGTGCCACTCTGGGCTGCTAAAACGAATCTAACAACACCTCTTATGTCAAAATACACAAATGCGTTTGTAGTAGAATTATTCTTGTCCACATACATTGACAGGCTCAAAAAACATAACCCTCCGAGAAAATCGGGTAAAAACACTTCCCTTCCATTATATTTTATATCAAGCTTTTCAATAGTCGATTATGATACCAAAAACTGTTAAATGCATTGCATTCAGAAAAATGTATTACCCGTAAAAGTGTAAAAGCTGTAAATAACGTTAATAGCTTGTGTCGGCTCTCGATTGGCAAAGTTCCTAATAGTCTATTATGTAGCTGCGCTTCCAGAAGCAGCCCGAATATGTTGTTAAATTTTCTTTTCGTCGGGTAATAACCGTCCGTGTACGCTACACTGTAAACAAGGAGTTTAATATTACGGAAGTTTTAAGTTTTGCTTTTGACCTTTTTGTAACTGTTTTGTAACTGCGCCGGCGGTGTGCACTCGGTAGCTAACGTCGTTCGGCTACGCCGCCGCGATTAGTTGCTGCTGAGGAGAATTTCATTAAAACTCAGCTTCAGGCGCTTATGTCACTGCTTTCTGATGGAAAGTGGGGATGTCGAGGTGTCATCAGTGTGAGAGTGTGGCGGCAGATTGAATTCAAATAGGGCGTTCACCCTTCAGGCTTAAACTGAAAATTCATTGACGGAATATGTATCAAACAGCAATCCTGGATTTTTTTATTTACTGTTCTCAAAAACAAAAAATTGGCTTCAAGTTGCTTGACTTTCCTTCTGTGATTAAATATTACTTTTGTCTTATGCCAGTTTGTAGTCTCATATATTTTATAATCTAACGTCAAATGGATCAACTGTTAGAACAGAAATATGTTGTAGTGATAGTTGCTTCACCGACCCGCGACAAATTAGCCCCTGCAGTCTAAGCAGCTCGATGGCGTAGTTGTTAAGCCTCCATTGTACTTCGAGGTGGCGGTAACGGGTGGCCTGAATAAAATCAAATCATATTATATTACATTATAATTTATTTTATTTATTTCTTACTCCACCGGGACAAGCAACAGCAAGCTGAGCTTAAGGTGAAAGTGGCAGTTGAAAAGTTCGAAATGGTGGCTGGGCACCATTTTGGAACTTTTCTTTTAATGGAAGAGAGGTGCTCTTACTTTGTAATTCCAAAATATAGAATCACTGTCACGGCGAACTGGCAGGCTGTCAAAGTTGAGGTTCTTATACAGTGATTCGCGTATAGTTCAACACCCAGTCATCAAAAAGCTATAGCATGTAATATCAATCTTAGGAGGATTTTTCCTAGTATGCAATAAAATATCGATTTCCCCATTCAAAACAATTGTCGAACCTTTAAATTTGTTTAACCCAATGGCCCGTATTTTATTGCACATTTAGACAGACTCTTCTACAAGTAGAATATTTATATATAACATACTATACCGTTTTGATGATTAGTCATAGTACAAAAACGCTAAACTTTAGCAGGCTGCGAGTCCACCATTTAAAGTACTCATACGGAGCTTCAAATAAGGTGTCACATGGTATCCCATTCTACTTGAAATAGTAAGATGGCGCCCAGCTGCCATCCTGAAATGTTCAACAGTTATTTTTATATTAAAATACAATATCCATTTGCTAGTTCCATCCGCCCGCATTTAAGCCTGCTAACTTAACCTGTATAATATGCGATGAATGGTCTACCGAAATAAACAACTTTTACGCAAACATACACACAAACATACTTCTTGGATCTGATGAACACTCGCACACTAATATCTTGATTGTCACACTTCTTGTATCAACTGTGGCCCTACTGGAATATTTTCAACACGCAGCTCAAACGTTTGAAATGTTATCTGAAGTATCACAACAGTCGAGTTGAGAGAAAAGAGCCTAAAAACTAAAAATGCTGAAACTGTGGTGATTAGTGTGAATAAAAGGGATAGCACTGGATATGGAGGGAAAGGGTAGAACTCAGTAGAGCAACTCTCTGAAAAGTACACTGAATTTCTGGCTGAAGTTATCTGAACTTGTAATCGGCACACGCTGCC